GGCGGCGCGGCTGCGGTTCAGCGATTTAGTGATTTCAGCTGTTGCAGATTGCCTCTGGTAGCCATCCCATCCTCGTCGCCAGTGTTGTAGTTGAGCAATGAGAGGCTAGACCAGGGCATGGATGCAACAAGACTTTATTGAAGCAAATAAGGACTGAACGTATTAGCCCTGCCTGGAGCAGGCTCACAGCGATCAGCGGCTGACCGGACCCTGCAGCCGGCTTTTATAGCCGGCTGTCGAGGGAGGCCAGCCAATGAGGGGCAGCAAACGCCCCCGCAGCATGAACGGACCTGGGTGGGGACTTTGGCAAGTTCCAGGGACATAACAATTATCAGAACTAGCTTCCTCTGGAAGGAACCCATCTGTTCTATATGGTTATGAGCTGAGAAAGAGAGAGAGGATATTTCAGAACTCCTGACAGATGATCTTCTTCTCCTCCTCCTCCTCCTCCTCCTCCTCCTCCTTCTCCTCCCTCTCCTTCTCCTTCTCCTTCTCCTTCTCCTCCTCCTCCTCCTCCTCTTCCTCTTCCTCTTCCTCTTCCCATGCCCCTCTTCCTCCTCCCCTTCTGGCTTCTTGGCAATCGATATACAGGCGAGGCTAACAACAGTCAGACTGAACTTCCTGATATATGCAGTTACCAGCCTTTCCACAAGGATTTCTCCTTCAGCCAGCTCTAGGGAACAGGGAAGTATTTTAGATATTCCTGCCCTAAGTCCAGAAACCCAAAATTTAACAAAAACGGTCATAAGATTGGGCAAGACTCACTAAATGACTCCATCACTTAGCAATAGACTTTCCCATCCCAATTGTGGTTATAAGTCAAGAACTATCTGTACTTCTGGCAACAATTCTAGTCTAAGAATGACAGTATCTGAAAGTTACTAGCTTTGAAAAGGATGATCTAGATTACTTCTGAGATCCCCTTCCTCATTAAGATTCTAATTTGAATTCTACAGATCAATCTGTTAAATTAACGCTCTAAGCGAGCTCCTTCTGGGTCTTTTTTTCAGGGGAGGGGGGTGCTTTGTTTGCCCTCTAAATCTGCTAAATCTTCTCCGTCTCCCAAGGAGAATAGCAATGAGTGTCTGAGTCAGAACGAATCAGCTAGAAACACATTATCAAATTGGCAAATTGGTAGATTAGGAAATTGGCAGTCCAACCCCTGGGGAATTGGCAAACACACCAGCTGTCGCGAACATTTTTAGAGAAACCGGTGCCTAGGGAAAGAAACTGAAGATAATTCTCAAGCAGCTGCTGAAATCCCAGGGCAGCAGAATATTCTTTGAGCTATTGCCAGAAAAGTGATGGAAGATCCCTTTGCCAAATATTATTAGCGCTAAAAACTAGCTAAACTGACTGACTACATTACATTTTTTAAATGAACAAATTCATTTGTTTTTATCTGCTTTAATTTTTTCTCATGAGAGCTCAGGAAAATCACGATCCTCAATGTTGTGCTTCTAAGAAGATGGTGATTTTGGAACGTTTTCAAAGCCTAGCTGTTCAACAAACCAAAGCGTATAGTTCTTTCCTTCAGATGTATTTGTACAAAATCTGGACAGTCATCTGTCCAGATTTCTGGACAGGTCTGTCACTGATGCTTTCAGTTGAATTTCTGCATGGGATAGGAAACTGGGCTCAATTGCCTAAATCACTGTTTAGCGTGGCAATTTCCAGGCTCAAATCACAGAATCCACAGCCAACATGGCAATTAATGAACATTTGGGTTAGAAGGTTGGAAAACATTATCTGTTCTGACCAAGGCTTCCAAACTGTAATTACGCACTTTTAAAAACAAGAATTGTTTCATTGCAACGCTGGAAATTGTTTTTATTCATAGCCAGAATTAATCTCAAACAGTCCCCCAAGATAAGCACACACCTTTCAGTTTTATGAAGTGCTGCCAAAAACAGAAGTATCAAATGAAAAGAAACCAACCCAAGTACAAAAAGAAACCAACCGAAGTACAAAAAGCTTCAAGAATGACTCTGAACCAATCGAACTACTTTGCTTCCTGCAAAGGTATCATCATCATGGCCTGACCTTTATATCTTATAGGAGGGGCCATCACCTCCCAGCCTTACTCCCAAGTCACCCCTTTTGTTTCAGCTGCTCTCGCCTTTTAGTAGCTCTGCACACACGCGCACTGGGAACAGGCTCCCCTGGGTCCTCTGCCTCGCTGCTGCCAGACTCCAGAGGCTCCAGAGGCAGCACCCCACTCCCAGATGGTCCTGGCCCCATCTCTGCATCAGATGCAGGACCCTCGTCCGAGTCCTCTCCAGACTCCCTGACTGGTCCTTGTTCTTCCCGACTGTCCAATTCTGCTGCCTTCTGCACAGGCTGCCAGCGAACCACAACATTATCTTAAATGGCTTTTCGATGTTATGACTCTGTGGTTCAGAGAATCTGTCATTTCCCCTTTCCTACATTAGAGTTATTTACCCATACTTGAGTCAACAGAAAACAAGACCACATTAAATTAATTCAATTTAAGTTTTACCTATTTTCAAATGGTCCTTATGAAAAGGCAAATATTTCTCTTGTTTTACCTTAACCAGCTAAGGATAATGTGAGTTGGGAATGAAATGGAAATGGTGGAACAGAAAGCAGATGTTGCCAAGAGATCTTTGTGTCATGGAACTGAGAAAAGGATCACATAGTATAGCAGAGGAGTATCTATGGAAATTCTCAGTCATCTAGGTCATGATTGTCCGAAAGGTGATTTTTCAAAAGGCAACTGGGCTTTCTTTCTTTTTCTTGAAATGTTTTACTACTCATCCAAGAAGCATCCTCAGTTCTGACTAAATGCTAAAGAATGTGGGGATTTATTTAGCATTCAATCAGAACTGGGGATGCTTCTTGGATGAGTAGTGAAACATCTTTGAGAAAAAAAACACAAAGGAAGTCCAATTGCCTTTTGAAAAAGCACCTTTGGGATATAGGAGAGGAGAAAAAGGTTTCAATCAAAAAGTATAGAAAAGGGTGGAAAGCCCCTCTTGTCTATAGGAGAATAATAGAAGCCGCGGACTCTCTTTAATGTGTCTGTAGTAATGTTTTGTCTGTGAGCCACAGACCACTCATAAATTCCTACATGAAAATATATAAAAACTGAAAAGCAGTTTGTCTGTATTCAAGGCAACTCAAAGCACAATGACCAAATTGTATTATGGAATCTGAAAGACATATTTCTGTTCACTGTTGATGGAGCCATGCGTCAGCTAGCAAGCTGAACCCAAAACCATTTACCCGAGAGATAATGCTGCTCAGGGGACTATTTGGTTCAGAGAGGAGACTTTTTCTAAAATCCCTGTCATCTTAATGGGGAACAATGGGCAAAGAATGACAATCAACTCTCACTGAAGTGCAGTATTTGGACTGATTCCCTGAGACATCATGGGGAAAGGGAAAGTGGACAGAAAGAGAAGGCAGTTTGCTGAAAACTGAAATAGCTGTTGGGATGGAGTGTTTATGCGGGCAGACAAACTATTTATGACCACTGTATGCCACATGGGCATCCATGACAGAGCTAGTAGTGAAATATGCATAATGATGTAATCCCGCCAGTAAAACAACTTAGGTACTTAACTTCAGATGTCCTTATACAAGTACATACTCAAGGTCTTGGCATGATTGTGTCATTGTGCATGATGCTTTTAGCATCATCATGGTTTGCCAGGTTTGCCAGGTAACACGGGCTCAACATAAGGGCCCATATTTTCCTTGTACAAAATCCCAGCCTGATATATTCAGGCAGCAGTCAAAAAAGATTCCTCTTTGACTGTCTGGATTTCTGGTCCTAAAGAGGACAAACAATATTCCGGACTAGAGGACTATGAAGTTGACTTATTACATATTGCCTTTGTCAGCATCTCTATTATCTGTGTGCTAAGACTAAATTTTATAAACCTCCAACTATTGTTTAATTTCATAAACAGCAGTAATAGGATCCGTTCCCTTAAACATCATCTGGTGAGACCTTTGAGTTTCTGTACCGTCTTCATGGCTGCCCGGCTCTTTGGAACACATGAGGTTTAGAGTGCTTTGCTACTATCTTTATAAGTTTTCTGGAAGGCCACGAAATCCTGACTTTTTCCTCAAGCTTGGGGCTTGGAGGAGGAATTGATGTGACATGATTTTCCTTTATAAAGATAATACAATTGCTTTATTGCTGCTTTATTGAATTTGTTGTGAGTCACCCGGCATTATTGCATAAAAGATAGGTTGCTGCATAAGTTCTATAAATAAATAGTATTGTTATGTACTTTTCTTTTCAAATATTGAAATGTTCCACACAGGGAATTGTTCCAACTTTTTGATCCTTTGGGTTATTGTTTTCTACATCTCTCCAGCAGGGGTGGGATTCTACCAGTTCGCACCTATTCGCTAAAACCGGTTGTTAACATTCTAAGCAGTTGGGAGAACCGGTTGTTAGAAGAAATTACTGACCTAATCCTGTAAGGAAGGAAGGAAGGAAGGAAACATTCTGGTGTTGCTTACAGAAACTGTCTCTCTGTTAACCCTTTTACATTCTTGGCAGGACTAGACTTCTCAGGAACTTCTCTGGAGTTTTTTTCCCCTCCTTTGCTGGTACTTTGCTTGTGTGGAGTGACCATTCAAAGTTACAATGGCTCTAAAAAAAAGTGACTTATGACCATTTTTCACACTTAAGACTGGTGCAGCATCCCCACAGTCATGAGAGGCCAGGTGAGGAGATGCGTGCCTCAATGTGAGTGATATTGAGTTGGCCACACCCAGCCAATAACATGACCAACAAGCCATGCCCACCCAGTCACATGACCAACAAGCCACGCCCTCCACCTAAGCCAAGCCCACAGAGCCAGTTGTTAAAATTTTTGAATCCCACCCCTGCTCTCCAGGGCTTTGGTGTCCTCTTCAAGATGTGGCAGCCTAATTTCTACAATACTGGCAGACGGATTGAGTTATGCCTGTGGTGTCCATGTATATTACAACAGCTGTTCATTTTCCTGCCTGGAAACCAATGGGGAAAGTCTGACATCACTGACTTTTCCCCATTGAATATCTAACACTCCTCCCCTCCTGGAAGAAGCATTCATCCAATCAGCTCTTACTCACAGAACATAATCACGTAGGTGGGACTCCTGTGAGTGCGACTGGACCTTCGCAGTTCAGCCTCACCAGCGGTGGCAACCTGACTAGTTGGGTCTGTTGTCACTCCAGAGCCAGCCTCAGGGTTTTTCAGGGGCAGGGCTGGCTCTGACGGAACAGAGGGCTCTGAGTTTCTTTGCTGGATTTCCTCCCCTTCAGCTAAATTATCCTGTGGTGTACTTGAATTTGAGGCCCACCCTACAGTGGGGAAGCTTGTGTTTTCAGTATTTGTAGTTGTTAGGGTTGGTCTTACCTCTCTATGTTCTGTTTCTGTTTCTGAGGTTTTCTGGTCGTTCAGATTCCATTCCAATCATCCCCGGAGTTGATCTATGTGTCTGCTTCATATTTTCCCATCTTCTAGTTCTACTCTATAATATCAGGGGCCTGTGACTTGCTCTACTCATGCAGGTACCCATGCCCCCCCCCTGCATAGTTGTGAGCATAGACTGATTGACCTATGTTCAAATATATGCATTTACTTGTCGAATCTGCGGGTGTGCTTGGATTGTAGTGTGGTTGTAATCTGTCTAGCTCTGATCTTAACTTCCACCCCATTAAAAGTTCTGCTGGACTTCTGTGTGTGGCGGCCAAAGGTGTGATATGTTGTATCATTAAGAATTTGTCTATTTTCACTTGCCAATCCCCTAGTCCCATTTTTGCTAAGGTTTCCTTTGTGGACCTTATGGCTCTCTCTGCCTGCCTGTTATTCTGGTTGTGTCCAGGTGCTGATAATGGATGGCGGATTCCCTGTTCAGCTAGGAAACATTCAAAATTGTTTGCTGTGAATTGGGGCCCATTATCTGATACCACAACATCTGGCAATCCATGTGTGGCAAACAATTTCCTCAATACCTTAATCACAGCATCTGCTGTGGTGGTTTTTATAATCGTTATTTCCAGGCACTATGAATATGCATCAACAGTTATTAGAAATGTTTGCCCCTGCATTGGCCCTGCCAGGTCTATATGTATTCTAGACCAAGGTGCTTTTGGTGATTCCCATTCTAGGGTTGGTGCTGAAGGGGGTGCAGGTCTGGATTCCTGACAAGGCGTACAAGCTGCAAACCATTTTTCAATTTCCTTATCCATTCCCAGCCACCAAGTACAACTTCTGACTAATGCTTTCATTCTTACTATCCCTGGGTGGCCCTCATGCAACGTTCTTAAGACTTGTTCTCTCAGTGTCTCAGGTATCACAACTCTATCCCCACACAACAAACACCCTTTAATTACAGACAGTTCTATTGCTGAATTTTAAATGATTTAAAGTCACCTTCCAGCACTTCTTCTGGCCATCCTCTCAACACCCAGTTTAAAATACGTGCCAGAGTTTTGTCTTTGGCTGAGTGTTTGGCTATCTCTGATGTTGTGATAGGGCCGGTGGCGATGTCTTCAATGAGGAGTATGGATGTGGCTGGAGCTGGGTCTTCAACAGATTCCAGAAGGGGGCAATGGCTGAGTTCATCTGCATGAGTTATGGTCTTGCCCAGTCAATGTATAAGGCAATAGTTATAGGCAGCTAAGAAAACAGTCCATCTTGTCATTCTGGGGGATAATATGTTTGGTGTTGGTTTGTTTCCTGCTATGATGCCTAGGAGTGATTTGTGGTCTGTGGCTAGTTCAGATTGTCTCCCTTACCCCAAAAGGATATGCATCACATGTTAGTGAAAGAGGTAATGTTTCATTATATTGTACTAGAATACTGTTAGAAGTTAGGAGTCCTTTTATGGATTCAAATGCAGTTGCAACTCTGTGCTCCCAAGTCCATTCTGCATTTTTATCAAGAAGTCTGTGAAGCGGTTCAGCAACTGTTGCTTTCTCTGGAATAAAAATACTGTAAAAGTTTAAAAGTCCCAGGAAAGCTTGTAATTCTGTTTTGTTTGTTGGAGTGGGAGCTTCCTTAATTGCTTTTATTTTACTGTCTGTGGGGTGTATACCTGTCTCATCAATTAGATATTCCAGAAATTCAACACTTGGTACTGCTATGTGGCATTTCTCTTTTTTGATTTTAAGGCCAGCTTCTTGAAATCTGCTCAAAACGAGCCTTAGTCTTTGTTTAAGTTGTTCTTTGTCCTCTTCTGCCAAGAGAACATCATCAAAATAAGGTACCATCCCCACAATGCCCTGTAGTAGGTTTTCCATTAAGCTCTGAAATAGTCCTGGGGCTATGCTTACCTCAAATTGCAGTCTTTTGCATTTGAAAGCACCCCTGTGTGTTACAATGGTCTGAGCTTCTGCTGTTTCTTCATCCACAAGTAACTGCTAATATGCTTGAGCCAAGTCTAATTTGGCAAAAAAAAAAATTAATCCTTTTCCTATTGAATGCAACAGATGTACTACTGGCACTGGTATGTGCTCTGTTGCAATGCAGTATTTATGGAAATTTTATAATCTGCACAGATTCTAATGGACCCATTTGGCTCAACTGGGGTGACTATAGGGGTCTCCCACTTCGCAGGATCAGCTGGCTCTAAGACTCCTTGGCCTATTAGTTTATCTAATTGTTCATCCACCTTGGGCCTCAGGGCAAAAGGGACTCGCCTTGGTTTTATTCTGACGGGGGGAACTTTTGGATCAAGGTTGAAAGAAATAGGGGTCCCCATATCCTTGCCTAGGCTCCCATTGAAAACATCCTTGAATTCAGTCTGTAGGTCCTCTCTCATTTGATTGTAATCTTCTGTTTGCATGGTGTGGATGAATCTAAACAATTCTATTCTGAGGAGGCTTGGTACTTCTTTGTCCATGATGGTTAAAGGCAATTCACCAGTGAAGTTTCTGAATTTTACTGGAAAAATTCCTCTTCCTAACATGGGAATTCTCTTCCCTTGGAAATCTTTTAGTGTTAAATGTTGTGGTTTTAGTTGTTGTCGAGTTATGCCAGGGATTGCTTCCTTTATAGTTGTCCAGGACACCATAGGATCCAAAGTCAATTTCCATATCACAAGGTTTTTCTCCTATTATCACTGTGATGTTGAATTTCTTTGATTTACGGGGGTCAGAATGCCCCACTATTGTGTGTTCATAGTCTCTGTCCTTCTCCATTCTATTATCTTCCCCCCCTTTAGTTTAAATTTGGCGGTCTCTGGAATCCCCTTTGTTGTGGACCATGTGGCTGATTAGGGAAACCTGCTTGTCTCTGATTGGGGTATGCTGGCAGATTTGCTCTGCATGCTTCAGCAATATGCCCTCTTCTCTCGCATCAGCGGCAGATTGTATCCCTGAATTTGCAAACTGCCTGGGGGTGGTTCCCTTTACAGCCTGCATACCATAGGGGTCTCCGGCTCATACCTTGGGGCCCTGATCTTCTATCAGGTTTTACTCTATGTATTTCTTCCTCCTCTTCTTCGGAGAGTTCTCCAATCTCCCCCTCTCCCTGATATTTGCTGGTCGTTCCCCATGCTGTGTGAATGCTTTTGGACTTCTCAATTTTAGTTGCTGTTTTTTCAGAGATTTCTTCTACCCAGTCTTCCTCTATTACTTCTTTTAAAGAGATGTTCTTTTTAGTTATCAGCTTCCTTTGCAATCTCAGGTCTCTCATTCCAACGATAATTCTATCTCTTAAAGTTATTTCCACATTTTCAAGCTCACAGCCTGCAGCAATATCTCATAGGTTTGTATGGTAATCATTTACGGTCTCACCTGGTTTCTGTTCTCTGTGGTAAAAGTCAAGTCAGTGAGCCAGTGATGATGCAGCAGGAGTGTAATTTTCTTCTAACATCTTCTGCAATTCTTTCCATTCCATTGTTTCCACATCTTGGTTGCAGCTAGGGTTTTAGCCATTTTGTAGAGGCGATTTCTACAATATCCCAGGAATAGAGCTCTCTTCCTCTGTTCTGTTGCATCATGCAGTGAATTTGCTTCTAAAAACATTCAAAATTGTCCCATGTATGCCACTCAGTCATGCTTTTTTGGATCAAAAGGTTCTGGTTGAGCGTGGGTGGACATTCTGATGATCAGCACGATGATAGCAGCGTTCTGTTGTTAGAATTTTCCGTCTTCGCCTTGTTTCCTTTGTTCTCTTCTAGCATCCCATCCTCATCACCAGTGTTAAGTATGGGCTAGATTGACGAGGCAGGACAATGGTAGAAGGAAAGGATTTCTTTATTTAGCTCCGAACAAAAGACTGCCGCCCGGTGTGCCTGCTGTTCTTTTTACAGGCTGCTGTCCACAATTTCAGCCACTGACAGCTGTTCATTTTCCTGCCTGGAAAATGAACCAATGGGGGAAGTCTGACATCACTGACTTTCCCCATTGAATATCTAACAGATTGCGTTATGCGGGTGTGTCCATGTATATTGCAGCTTTTATGTTCTGTCCCTATACACCAGGGGTGGACAAACTACGGCCCGCGGGCCACATCCGGCCCGTTGGTCTGTCTAATCCGGTCTGCCTCTGAAAAAAAATCGCTGGGCGTGGCGTATTGCCCTGCTCTGCGTGGCCCCCAAAGCTGCAAAACAGCGTGGAGCGCTCTCAGGGTACGAAAGAAAAGAAGAGAGGCACACAACACCAGCGCCCGCCCGGCCGATGCCTCCACCGAAGGTGGCAGGAGCAGCAGATGGGAGAGCCAGTGGCAAAGTTTCCTAACTCGCCTCTCCATCCCTGGCCAGCGTGCGTCTCCCGTGCGAGGCACTTTCCCGGATGCCAGGATGAACATGCTCCAACTATTGTTTGTGGGTCCCCTCCCTGCGCTTCCTTCCCTCACCCCTTCCCTCCCCTCCCACCCAATATAGCAAAGGTTCAGGTGAACAACATCGTGGTGCCAGGGGCCAGGCGCGAGCGCCCGCGAGGAAAAAGGAAGCCACAAGTTGCTGGGAAGTTGCTCGGGTGCTGGGAGCAGCCATGTTGCCGCCGTCGTGGTGAGCAGCTTGTCAGGCGCATACGCAAGGAGGAGGGCTTTTAAAGTGCCGCCCGAGCAGGACCACCGAGCCGGGAAATGGGGCACCAAGGCAGGGCAAGGCTCCACCAGCAGCGGCCTAGCTTTAGGTGGGCTTGGATGCCCCTGAGCACGGTTTGCTGTTTGTTCTCTCCTGGGACTTGCGATTGGAAAGCGTGGAAAGTAGTAGCAGGAGCAGCCGCAGTGTTACTTTGCTTCTGGAAGCTGCTCTTTTGGAAGAGCGCTTCGGTGATCGGACCTTGCCAGCTCTGGAGCAATTCCAGTTTTCGCTAACCTCGGTAGCGGAATAAAATCACCGAGTCAGTTCAAGCCTTGCAAACTGAGACTTAACTGGTGGGCAAAGAGCTCCTTGCCTTGCCTTCTCTCTTCCCCCTCGAGCGGAGGAAATGGTGTTGGAGAATTGCTTGCTGTAATTCGAAATTGAAACTTCAATTACCCTCCCCACCCAAGTAATTTTCAGTAAGTGCCACTGACTTCAGCATTTGGTTGTAAGAGCTTGATTTGATCGAAGCTAAGTATTAGGGTTTTTTGTTTTCAAGTTCAAAGAGATGGTTTGGAAGGGGTTTTGTTACTGTTGGGAGGGCGGGGAGCTTGGAAGACCAAAATTTTGAACGTTTTATTTAAAAGTCTTTTTTCTCCAATGTAGATTTGGAATGGAAAATCATTTATGTGGCCCTCGAATGCAGATCTGATTTTCCATGTGGCCCCCGACAGAAATTAATTGCCCACCCCTGCTATACACCTTGACATAGAAATTACCATTTATACAGCTGCACCACTGTGGATAAATGTTTTCATTACGCTTGCCAGAAGAAAACACTTAGGATTCCCTTCTATATAAAATGCTCTCAGCTTCGTCTCATCAGGACATAGCAAAATATTTTTTTGCCCACGTTACAGATCCATTTCAGACCATATTGAACTATATATGCTTTTTTAAAAAAATTGTCCATTTGGCTAGGTATACCTGAGAAATCTTTTTGGAGTTCTTTGCAATCCCCCCTTTTTTTATTCTCCTGGAAAATTTGAGATCATCACCAAAACATCCTCTCTTATTTTTGGACCACTCATGAATGAGTTTTTTAAAATAGTTTTTTTGGTTTTGTTTTTATTTTATGATAACTAAAATGGAAAAAGTTGCATGAGAAACATAAAAGAATCATTCAGGATACCTTTTTTTCACTTGCAGATGTATACCTACACTGTTATAGAAGGAAAGGCTTTTAAAAATAAAAAGAATGGAATACAGTTATTTACAATACATTTCAGTTCTATTGGACTACAACTCCCATCATGTCAAGAGTCGGGGAATTGTGGTCCAGGTCTTATGAAAACTGATTTAGGCTTGCATTATTGTACAAGATAATGTGCCACTTTTTGAGCCTGTCAGGGACAATTACGTTCCCTTAGCTGTTGAAGGCTTTTAGCAGTGGATATAGACTGAAATAAAAAGCATTTATTTGATTGGATGTGTCAGAGAAATCTAGCTATGACAATGGTTAGGATTTTACTAGGATTTTTCCCTCCCATTTTCGAGAGCCATTTTACAACATATACCTAAAGTGAGGGGGAAATATCCAAATGACATCGATAAAGAGTAGCCAAGAAATTCAATAGAATCAACTCACCCTGTTTTCTTCTCCTTCTCTCATTTTTCTCCAATCAAGAAGCTTTCCAGATGAGGGAAGAGTGATTCTATATTCAAATGACTCCTCCTCCCTCACCTGGATAGTTCCTTGACTGGAGAAAAATGAGAAGAAAATAGAGCAAGTTGATTCCATTGAAATCTTTTCTTTTATGTACACTGAGAGCATCTGCATCAAGACAAATCCCTTGTATGTCCAACCACATTTGGCCAATAAAGAATTATATTCTATTCTATCTTCTTTATCAGCATTCTTGATCTGTACTCACAGTCTATTTTTAATTCCCCTTTATTTCTTGTGTTCAATACCTCAGTTTCTAGCTTGGTCTTCTTTAGTGAACCTTTCCTAGTATGGCAAGATGGCTCGCCTGAAGGGCATTTAATGTAAGTATATTGGGATGTCAGATTTCTGCAAACCAGTTCTACCTTTTCCAGCTCTGATGCCACACAACAAAAACAGGATTAATATTACCTCAAGTCAATCTTGCTCAAACAGAAAAGAACTCCATGTAGATATCACCATATAGATATCTACAGGTAAAAGTAACTAATATTTAGCTACAAAATAAATAAATTCCACTCTCCCAGTCTGAATCAACTTAATTATACAGTCCAAATTTATGCATGGTGCTAAAGCGGAGTATAATATTTCTTTATAGCTTTGTGTACAGTATCCTGTGAACATCATATATTCAACAAACCATGTGTAATAAACGAAGAACCGCATTCCTCAAGCATGCTGTTCTATAACTTGTACAAACACAAGTCAAGTAAGCTCCCTCCCACACTCAACCAAATACTTAATATTGTACACAAAATCTCACTGAGCAAGGAAGAAGAGATTTTCCTGTCAGCCCTGCCTTGCTGGAAAAACCTGCCTAAGAACACATGAACCAGGAGATAACTGGTTTTGGAATCCTAATCTGGAGAAGAAGAAGAAAATAGAAGCTTAGTAGAAAAGCCATCTCTACCATTTCCCTAAAAAAAGTGGAGAACAGTTCTCTAGGCCTCTGAAGAAGTAAAGATGTCTATGAAGCATCAGAAAAAAGACTAAACTGTGTTCTCTGGAGAATAGATGTGAAGAAGGAAGCAGTGGATTGGGACACCTGAGAGCTCCAGGAAATCATAGGAGCTAAGATAAATTGTTCTTCAATCTCCAGTTGAAAGTTACAACATATTAGAGTCAGGGATTATCTACAAAAATGTGAATCCTTATTCTAAGTTTCTAAGTTTTAGCCAAGGATTTTGGTTGGTCAGCTTCACTGAGTCCTCTGCAAACGTTGAATGTATCTGTTACTGTTTCTAGTAAATTTTTTGTCTCAAGTTTATTTTAGTTGAACCAAGCAAACTCAGCTCTTAGATTTTTGTTCCCTCTTGAGCTTTTTGAGTCCACTCAAGATAGTTTTGCCTATTATCCCCAAAGTTTTTGTTAATGGGAGGTTGAATATGGTATTCATGATTTTATCAGCAGTAAGTAAGACATTTCATCCACTTAAAAAAAATTGGGATAATTTAACATTTTCTCTTTGATAATTTTTAGTAAACTTGATTTTTAAAAAGCTTTTTAGTGCATATATTTTTGACTCAACAAAAAAGGAGGGATAACAGTTCTTCTCTAGCCACATAACTTAAAACTATAATGGGCAGGAGATGACATTATAGAGTTTGATTTTCTTCTTCCATTTTTATTTCTAGTTTGTTGGCAAGTATGTATTTAGACTATGAAAGGGCCTGCCTTTTTCACAAGCTGGTATTAAGAAGGAAGAATCCAGATGAAGGTATTTTTCCCTAAAATTAAATGATAGCTGTGATTTTGCAGGAAGGCTAGGTCAAAGGATTGACGTATCAAAAACCTTGTGGAGTGGAAAGCGCACACTGCATCTGATAAAGATACAGCAGGCAGCCTGGCCACATCCCATCTTTCTCTGCCACTACACATGGTTATATAAAATATAGATTATGTCATTTGGGTATGGCTGTAATTCTGTCAACAAACCCAATCTGAATTTGAACAGAATTACATTACATAGAACAGGACTAGAATTTTCAGCTGGTAGTAATTTTCAGCTGGGAGCAGATATATTAATGCTAAGAAGGAGGCAGAGGGCTTTAGTATATTTTGCTAAGTTATAAACTATAATCTCAGCTGGTGAGTTTTCCTCTAAGCCATAGATAATGAAACAGTGGTTGGTATTTCCAGATATTAAGTGTTGCTGACCATTCAAATTCTACCTTTTCCTCCTTCCCAGATTTCCTGTGACATGAAAATACAGAAAAAAAAAATAGTGGGAAAGCATGGGAGAATTGCAAAGGAAAGATTATATCATGGAAACCTCCCTGAAATGTTCATCTTTGATGAACTATCTGATGGCAACACAATTAAAATTATTCTGAAAGCTACCAAATTTTAAAGAATCAGAAAAAAAAACTACTTTCCTATATCCAGATACCTATAGCATCAATTAAAGCTTTGGTCTTTGGGTCATGTACATTATCAACACCACATGATGTCTTGTTCACATGTTGAAGAAAACATCACAGCTACCAGCAGGAATATGATGCCTTTTATCACCTGCATAGCATAGAACTTCCTGAAAGGAGAAAGATGCAGTCATTACATAATTCCTGGATTAGGTATAGCAGGATTCTGAAGAACAAGTAGAGAAAGTGGATGTCTTGTGAAAATAATCAGAGTTCTAGGGACTGTATTTGGGGGAACTAAAAAC